GGGGCTTGGAACTAGATGATCTTTGAGGTCCCTTCCAACCTTGACCATTCTATGATTCTATAATATAGAGTGCAAATTGTGCATAGTCCTGATCTTTATTCAAACAGGCATCTTCTGTTTCTTAGCTATTCAGGAAGTGTGTTTGTGAATAGTGGCATCTAACAGTACCACGTTCTTGGAAAGTTCCCCTGAAAAGCTGGATCTGGTCAGATTTAAGTTAGGGAAGAGGTGTCCCCTCACGTGTTTGCTTTAGAAACTACAGTTGTTTCTTAGCTTTATGAAATGATTGCTTGCACTGCCATGCACACAGGTCCTGTGACACTTTTAGAACTAATGTTCTTGGTAAGTGATAGTGACAGTGAACAAACTCTATCTTGTGCTGATAGGAGGCACAAATATATATATGTATACGTACATACATATATATATATGTATAACAGCCATACTTTTAAGGAGGAAATAAGAAGTTAGCACAGATCACAGTGATTCTAAAACTTAGATTTTTTTTAAAAAATTTGTTTTTTTTAGTGCTTGACTTTGTAAGCTTAATACTGTTCTTCTGTTAGTTTCTGTCTTTTGTACAGCTGGAGAGGGACTTTTTACAAGGGCGTGTAGTGACAGGACAAGGGGCAATGGATTTAAATTGAAAGAGGGAAGATTTAGATTAGATATAAGGAAGAAATTTTTCACTGTGAGGGTGGTGAGGCACTGGAACAGGTTGCCTAGAGAAGTTGTGGATGCCCCATCCCTGGCAGTGTTCAAGGCCAGGTTGGATGAGGCTTTGAGCAACCTGGTGTAGTGGAGAGTGTCCCTACCCGTGGCAGGGGGGTTGGAACTAGATGAACTTTGAGGTCCCTTCCAGCCCAAACCATTCTATGATTCTACAGCATTTGCAAGCATGCAAAAACCATTTACTTCCAAATCAGGCTGTGAGATTTTTTCCGCCTGATCTATGGGGAAGGAAATAACATCACTGAGAAATCTTGCATCAGGAAGATAATATTATTTGCTCCTCTCTAACTTTTCTACCTTTATTGCTTTCTTTAGATTTGCAACGATGATAAAGGACAATATTGTAAATGACAATGAAGATTCTGAGCCATCAGTATGTGAAAGTAATGGCATGATTCCCATGCATAAGAAAAACGAGGTAATGAATTAGGATCCCAAAGTACAGTTTTAATCAGACGAATCCTCCTTTTCCTTTCCTTTTTCTTCCTACGTCTGTTAAAATCCCTGCATCTGAAGGGAATATAAGGAGAAATCTCCTCAGTGGAAACTTCTTACAATTAACGTATGTTCAGTTTTTAAAAGTCTGTGGTATGTTGGATTGCTGGAAAACAGTGGTTGAAATTCACCTTGAAGTGGAAAATGCATCAGCATAAGTTTTACAGTCAGCCATGGAAGAGAATTAAACGGACTGTAAGATTGCTACTTTGCTTTCAAATTATGCCTATCCATTCACTTGCTGAAAGTTTTCACGGATGTCTTCCTTCTTTTACCTAATAGAAATAAAAACCCCACAGTTTTAAATTTCTGTATGCATATTTCCAGTGTTCTTGGAAACTTCTATGGCCTTAAAAAAGATATGCAGTAATTGCAAGTAAGGATAAAAGTCTTAACATAAAAGGCACTTCAGAGTAAGCATATAGCATGGACTGTAAAGATAAGTGCCCTGTGGTGTATCTTTATACACATGGGCAGCTGGTGATCACAGAATCACAGGGCAAGTAAGTAACTCCATGCTAAAAGCTCCCAAGATTTGTGTTCCGACTGTGACAGTAACTCCATGCTAAAAGCTCACAAGATTTGTGTTCCAGCTGTGACTCTGAGTAAGGGAGATACATATATATATATATCGAGAGAGAGAGAGAGATGAGACAGAAAAATAATAGGAAATGTGGAACTATTACTGGAGGAGGGCCAAACCACAGTATAGGCAAAAATTCCATGTCCATGCTGTGACAATGAGCTAATGTGAAGGTGAATAATCATAAGGGAAGGTAGGTGATTAACTTGTTAAAAATAAGGACCCTAAAGTGAAGTGAGACATACCCAAAAATGGTCAAAGAACACTTCAGCTATGAATATGGGTAAGTAGATGAATCGGTATAAGAGAACAGCTTCAAGGAAAGAAGTCCCAGGGTAGTATTTCTCCATCTCTACCTTGACTTACCAGCTTGAGCCTTCCAGCAATGGATCATGTGAGTAATGCTTGCACTGGCCAGCTGTTCTGTTTCTTTCATCCTTGTCTAATCACAAGTAGGTTTTGTTATTGTGTTATATAGGAGTTACATCGCAGACCCTGTCTCACTGGAACAATGCTACTTGTTAACTGTGTTGTGAAATCCACTCTGGAAGCTTGAACCTTATCAAACTGTAGAAACTATTAATAAATATTTAGCTTGTATACAAAACAAGCTGAACCTGGCCTGTTAATATCGTTTCTTCATCAAATATGCTGATATTGTTGCTGAACAAGTGCTATTTGTATTGGGACAGGAGCCCTGTCGGTTGCAGACAAAAAGGCAAATGTCCCACAGTATCTCATATTCCGGTCTCTGTGCCATGCAAAAACAAACACAGAACCAAAAATCCCAAATATACTACAAAGCTGGACCATTCCTACAGGAGTTGTGTAGTTAATGTAGTCATCTGTGGACAGGGTGGATGTAGTGCATCACAGCTGATTTCAAGTCTTGTACACTACTTCAAATGTATTCAGTGCCACTTCTGAGAGAGTCTCGTTGTTTTCGTTCAGGAGGGACCACCAGTAGATTCCAAAGGTACTGATGGGAATATTCAAACAGAAGAAACTGCTCTCTTGAATCATTGTGCTCAGCAACCTGTGGAACCGACAGCAGGGTCTTCAATACCTGCAAGAACATGGAGGCAAATATTCGCTTGTCCTCCTCAGGGTTTGCTGGCCCAAACAGTGACAAACGGTATGTTAGAAAGATAGAGTTTAATTAAACTGAGAAATGGCAAATGAAGTACTCGTTTCTCTGGGTGTGATGATATCTGTCCGTTGTCCTTTAAAACAATGAAGGGAAGTAGCTGTGTTTTACACATCACGCTTTTGTTTCAATGTTTTAGCAGGAAAAAAAAAAAAAAAAAGAAGTGAAACAAAGATTTGAATGTGTAATTTTGGTTTCTCCGTCCTCTCTTCTGTGTTTAACATGGTAGGTGTGTTTTTTGCATTGCAAATTGTTTTCATCAGAAGAAAGACCTCCAAATTCTCATCTTGATAGTTCGTTTTCGAGCAAGAGCATTGAGATGGTTATAAGCACAGAGGCATTTTTGGCACACTGGATGGCTTTTTGTTGAATTAAGGCAACAAACACGAGACTTTGCAGTGCTACCTTCCTTTGTGTTTTAATACCCCAGTCTTGCAAATTCAAGAATCCTGACTAGAAAGCAAACTGACCTGTTCTGTTTAAGATTTGCCCTGCACTGAAGGCTCACAGAAGAGAATGCCTGGCTAACCAGTTATTTCAGATTTTTCCTAACAAAAGCCAGTTCCTGTGGCTTCGACTGCTTCCACAGCGTCCATTCTCTCTCACTTGGCATTCTTAGGCTTTTATGTTTGGAAATCTACTGGTCTTCCCTTTGCCACCTGTCACCCTCAATAAGATTAAGAAAAATCCATCCTACAAATGCAGTACGTTTTCTTGTGACCATGAGAAGAGGGATTTATTCAATACGTTTTTTTCTCTCCTTCAATCTTCTGCTTTTATATCTATGCATGCCTGTTCTTGTTGGATAACTGTAGGAACAGATTTGGGAACATTTTAAGAGCATAATATTTTCCCATATTTTATAATATTTTCACTTAATGTTCTCACAATATTTTTCAGGAAATTTTTTTTCCCTCTGTATTATTCCTCTTTGATTGCGGTATTAAGGGAAGTATCTCAACTACTTCAGGCTGCCCAGAGACATTACCTTCTTCAGATATTTTTTTTTTCCCCCAGGGATAGCAATGTATTGCACAAACACATCCAGCTAAAAAATGGTACCTAAATTCTTTTAAAAATTAGACTGGAGCTGTAGTCCTTAGCTCAAAGATATGCCAGGCTGTATAGCAGCAGGTTCTTACTGCAGTTCTGAAGCAGCTGAAGGAAGATAAGCAAATGCAAGTTAAGGTAGTGAAAGTCTTTGCTTTAAGTTTGGGACCTGTTAAGTGCTTTCCGCAGTGGGCCAAGGCTCACTCAGTACTTTTTGGTCCCTAATGATATTCCTGTTACCAGTTTTTAAAGTGTCTTAGCATCTGTAAAATCAGAACACCAGTTTAGGGAGCATCAAAGATTAAACACGTTGTTACGATTAAACTAATTTTTAAGGTAAGTGATTTTATTTCTGAAAGTCATTGTATCTTTTTCACTAGTAGAAAAACAAATGTCATCTAATAGCAAACACAATTGTCCCTGAGAGATGATTAAATATGAATATTTCTTGCTTTGTTCCAGTTGCAGTCGTGGTCCTGGTTTGGGCTGTGGTTTGGTCCATCACTGGGAGCGAGTGTCTCCCAGGTGGAAATCTGTTTGGAATTCTGTTTCTTTATTTTTTTGCTGTCATTGGAGGTAAATTTTTTGGATTCATTAAAATACGAACGCTGCCCCCTCTCCCTGCTCTTCTGGGTAAGATATCTTTCCTTCTTTTCTTCCTGCATATTTGTGTTGTTTAAACCATCAAGTAGTATCTGCATGCTAGATATGTTTGGATTGGGAACAAACAAATGGCATCACGCTCAAAATCTGTAGCTTTTCCAAGTGGCTTTTATCTGGTGGTCCTCTCCAAGAAGGTGCAAATTCTCCAAACTGCACCGACTGAAGTTGGCTGTATGTTACTAAGGCTCTCCTCTTAACTCTTTGGGGGCCAGAGAACTGTATACCTACAGATTCAAAGATTATGGTCCTTCAGTCCCCTCCGTCACAGTTACTTAAAATTTGGGTTTAATATCACCCAGCAGGAGTCTTAATCTAGACCTCTTGTTATAGTAGAATAATTAATTCATGAGGAAATTATTGTTGAGCTGTTTCCTATGTATCTCACACAATGAAAATATTTTCCAAAGAAAACACCACAGGGATTCCCTCTACTGGTAATCCAAAGCAATTTATTTCTTCTCCTTTTATCTCAAGATAACTGAAACCTGATAAAATAAATTCACTACAAGGAATACTTCTCTGAAGAGAGGTATTTTGAGTCAGTCATAACATTGTTTTTCATATCAACATAGAATCATAGTATGGTTAGGGTTGGAAGGGACCTTAAAGATCATGTAGTTCCAACCCCCCTGCCACAGGCAGGGACATGTCTTATTTTACATAAAAACGCAAAATAGAAGTGGGAGGTAAAAATGACGTTAATTTTTACGTAATCAGAACTTTTCAGACTTCTTTCCTAGAGGAGATTTTGGTTAGATCAGTACAATATTGTGATGTAAATGAACTGAAAAATGAATCTTCAAGTTCTCCTCACTAGCTGTATTCTGCCCTCTTACTGTGCTTGGTGCATAAACCAGTAAAGCCGGTGACAGACAGCAAAGTTTCATGGCAGGATGCAGTTTGGTAACGTGCATAACTGGTGGTGTCCAGGCAGCACGTGTGGTCTTGCACCGCTTAGTTTCGCAAGCAGGAAAAAATTCGTGAGAGGGAGGGAAGTTTTGCATGTACCACGCGTGCCCGCAATAATGTGAGCACAGAATGTAACAGGCAGGGAGTCTGCCCTTTCTAAGTAAACACCTCCCTTAAAAAAAAAAAAAAAAAAAGTTTCTGACCATTTGGATTCTGCTTTTTTTAATTGCTTCTGTATCTAAAAGTTACGAGTTGAGCATGAAACTGCTCGTCAGACAGGGAATACTGAAAACCAGAAACTTAAGCATGACAGCACGCGTCTGTAGAGTTGCTTAGGACAGAGTTTATTGTTCACATCCCCAGTCTTTGAGGAAAATTGGAGAAATCTATGAGTCAGAAGAGACAGACAATGCTTTTGAATATTCCTTTTTCCACTAAAAATACAAAACTTGTACTCTTACCTTCCTTTAATCCAGTTGTGCTTGGTGCAGTTGACTGTAATGTGGCTGGCTGAGCACTTACATACCTTATAGCGAGCCCCTGTCTGAGATAAAAAGGAGTGAAATTGCTGCTGAAACAGTCACGTAGTATATTTTAGTTATACATTGCAGAGAGGTTTCTGCAGCAGGTGACATGGACCTGAACAGTGAAGATATCCTTTGAGGTGGAGTTTTTTGCTTTGAGTAGATTTCTAGATCAGGATAGCTCTAGTGCCTATGGACCTCAAGCAAACATTGCGAAGAGCAGTGTGATCATTATGCTAGCCTGATATAATTGTCATGAGGTACTGCAGATTAATTATGCTGCTGTTTTTTTTCTGGGAGGTGGTAGGAAGAACAATGACCAAAAATTTAGCATGTTCCAGGACAAACTGAGTCCACAGTCAAGGCTCACACCAAGCTGAGACCAACCTAAGCACGGCGCTCGTTTACCTTTTGTGTTTTTTGGTTTCCGTTTCTTAAGGTGGCTGATACAATATTGCACCACAAAAATGTATCTTTGAATCTATTGGGACCTACAATGAACCTCTGCAGATCTATAATTAAAGTCATGTTTTCCTGTGCTTTTCTGTATCCTTCCAGAACTACTGTTCTGACAGCTTTGCAGGAGGTCTCTGATTAGCTGTTCTGCTAATATTTACAAAAGGTTGGATCTTGCAAGTAGCTCAAATAGAGGATAAGAGCAAATTGCTGAATTTTCCCCTTTTTCCCCTCTTTGCATAAAAGTCATATTGCCAGAGCATTTAAAAATATCTAAGCTAGTCCACGATTACCTGTTTTAGGTTATATTTCCTAATTAACTCAGCATTATGGTTCCTGTGATACCTACATTTCTTACACCTAAGAGGTTTTTTAACCGTTTCCAACTTCTGAGGTAGATATGCTATATTAGACCATCGTCCTCTTTTCATGTTAGAACAAGCTAACAAGAAAAATATCCTTAAGGATGCAGAGGTGTCCTTGCTTGTGGTAAGTATGATCTGCACCTGGTGAACAAAGCTGAATTCTGTTGCCTTGCACTAAAGCTATGTGTCATCATCCTACGGATTTATTTGTTGGTGACCTGGTGTGTTAGTCCTATTTCATTGCTTTAAACATGTCTCTCTCTTTCCACACCTCAGTCCCCATTGGTAAAACATGGCTAATAATTCAGAACATGAATTGTTTTTTTTGTCTCTCATAAATACATAATATGGCATCTATTTTTAAGAATTCTATGCAGGCTTTTAGTGCAGTGCGAGCAAATCATTTGACAGGAGCTTATTTGTTTTCATTTAAGGGATGCTACTTGCTGGTTTCCTAATCCGAAATACCCCATTCATTAGTGACATTGTCCAGATAAACCTACACTGGTCTGCAGCACTGAGGAATATCGCTCTTTCAGTTATCTTGACCCGAGCAGGACTTGGCCTGGATCCAAAGGTATGGCACCAACCATTTGTGTGAGGCAAAGTATACAACAGCCCTCAAAAAGGTTCAATAATTGGTTCTGTTAAAAATGTTGAACTGTTTAGTCTTAGAAGATCTGCAAATGAGAACATTACAGAAAGCACAGTTTCTATTGTATAGTAGATATGTTAATATTGGCAGTTGGATTTGTAGAGTAGGCAAGCAATTGAAAAATTACCTGAAGAAAACTGATTTTATGACTATTTTCTCCCTTGCCTTGAAGAAATTTCCTGAATTTTGTGAGCAGAACATCTTGATGATATGTGCTCCATCGTGGTCTGTCAGGAAGAGTTTACGTTCTCTGACAAACTCCCCATCGATTTACACCAGTGAATTTACACTGGTTACAAGTAATGGAAGGGACCCCCAATCCTTGAAATAGAACGTTCCTTGTGTTGACACCAATCAAAAAAAACCCAACTAACCAAAAAATCCAAACCTGTGTGTCTGTCTTACTTTTTTTCTTTTTTTTTTTGTAGAATTATTGCCATTTTTATGCAAATATATTAATCGCAAAGCTGAATCCTGCTCCACTACAAAAACAATGCTTCACATCATAATAAAGCCCACTTTGAACAAAAAAAAAATAGTCTTCCTCCACACACTATGCAATGTGATGTTCCATAAATCAATGAAGGCAAGGTTTTTCTTGATCAAAATCAGCTGGCTGAAGTAAAGCTGTACTATATTGGCCCTCATCTATTTAAGGGGCTGCTTAAAGTTTATATAAAACTTAGGTCAAGTATAGCTAGTTCAGAACAACTGAACTGATTTTTCTTAACCAAGATGAAATCCAGAGAGTTGCCAAGGCTTCAGATATTTAGGAAAATAGGGTTTTGTCATTCTTGAGAAATGCCTAGTTTCCTAGATTACTATCACCCATTTTTCCAAGATGTTGAAGCTTGTATGAACATGGACTGTGTGTTGTTACAAACGGTCTGGATGCCCAGTTCTGTGAGATTGCTTTTCTATTTCGTGACAACTTTTTTGCCAAAAGAATTTAATTTTTGACTCATTTTTCTCCCATGTGGCAATCGAAACTGTCATTCGGACTCAGTACGTAGCAATGCTTTGACACAGTTCCAATTGTTCCTCATGCAACTGAAGCTGTGAAGACAAAGATGTCAGTTGCTCTGGTGACTTCTCGGCCCTAATTATTATGCTGGGATAAACTGCGCTGGTAAAAAGTGCAAATCATTGATTTTTTTTTTTTCCCCCACGTCAAAATTAGTGACCTGTCCTTGCAAAGTCATGTTTGTGACTGACTATTAAAGGCAGCTGTTACAAGTAAATACTCCGTTTTAGAGAAGCTTTTGAATAGAAGTTGCTGAGCCCAATGGACCTTAATCTGCTCCGGATATCAAGGGAGAGACAGCGGAAAGAAAAGCTTGGCTCCTTGCGCCAAGTTTATGTAGTTGTACAACTCTTCATGATTTGTTCATGGATTTGGGGATAATCTTTTGGGGGTGCTCATGCAACTTGTGGGTTTATAGCAAAATCTTTTGTCGATGGAGCGAATGACCTCAGGTAACTGTGGGTAAGTCAGCTGTGCTAGGGGTGTGCTTTCCCAATGGATCCCAGCTAGTGAGGCCTCTCGCGTTTAGTTTGCTCTGCACGAGAAGCCAGGCTTCTCTACCACTCCTTCCTGTGATGTGCAGGAACCTTGCTGAACCCAGATTCAGTGGGTTTCACTGCCACGCTTGGAATTTTCTATCCAAATCCGGTTGTGCTTGAGTCTGTCTCTGGCTTAGGCCATGTAAAGCTGTCATATCCTCTACGGCAGCACCAAAGGGATTCTTTTAATAAACCATATCAGACCGTAAATGTGTTTCCTCTCGATAAAGCCAAGGGTGCTGATACTGATGTCTGAATGCCCTTTTCTATTGCAGGCCCTTAAGAAACTCAAAGCAGTCTGTTTACGGCTTTCTTTTGGACCGTGCATCACAGAAACATGCACAGCTGCTGTTCTTGCCTACTTGTTCATGCATTTGCCATGGCCATGGGGATTTATGTTAGGGTAATGTACTGTCTTTTCTCCTGTGTGACAAAGGTGCCTGTTTTCATGCTGCAGTGAAATGATCCAAGTGTAGCTAGTTCTCTGTGCCAAGCAGAGACCTCAGTTTAATGCCAGTTAGGAAGGTGTGCTTAGCTCCTGTGGTTTTTTGCTTACCATTCATGTCTGGCTCTGTGGCTAATATAAAGGTCACATTTCCAGGCTGTGGAGGAGTACTTGCATCATTGCTCTTCTGTGTTTGTGATCTGGGCACTTGAAGAAAGAACAAGGATGGTGCAATTCCTGAGTCTTTAACCACAACACAGAGGGCGTTTAGGGGCAGAAAATGATACCACAGTTCAGAGAATCTCCATGCTGGAATGCTGAATTTCCCCACAGAGAGATGCACGTAGGACAGTCTTTCTGTCACAAGTCAAGAATAAGGGTATGACTTGTTATATTCTGGAGTAATATCCTTGAAGAGGAAACATTTTCCATCTAGTTCTATCTAAAATGGAGGACTTGGTCTGGACCCGTATGCTGGAGCAAGCTCCTCCTCTGCCACACACTGGTTTTTATGAGAAGGAACTGGGCTACTGAGTCATAAGCAGGTCTAGACCAGGTTCCTAAATTGGACAATCAAGGCATAACTGGCCTGCAGTGAGACTCAAGTCTTAGTCTGTGGAGCCTTTTACTTTTAATATCATTGAATTGGGCAGGAAGTAAAAGCTGATTGCAAATCCATATAGAAATATCCCTGCTTGTACTTAGGTAAGGAAGATACCTTATGTAAAGGTCTGTTTATTTATACTTTAAAATAATTGGGGTCAGAACATTTTGAAGTTTTTTAGTTCAGTGCTTTCTTTTTTAAGAGAGGCTGAACTTGTGTGTTTTCAGTTTTGTTCTAGGTGCAGTCTCCCCTGCTGTGGTGGTTCCCTCAATGCTGATTTTACAAGCCGGGGGATACGGGGTGGAGAAAGGTGTCCCAACTTTGCTAATGGCAGCTGGCAGCATTGATGACATCCTGGCTATCACAGGCTTCAATACTTGCCTTGGGATGGCTTTCTCTTCCGGTACGCTGGTTAATCTGTACGTGGTGAAATCCAGAACAAACAGTGATATTTTGAGGAATGTGTGCTCTGTGGCGACTGACTGATTTGTAGCTTACCGACATCTCCTTATAAAGTTCATGTATGGACTTGACTATTGAGAGGGAAATTACCCATGATGAAAAGTCTTGGTGTAACATTGTGTGCTCTGAGTTGTGGGTCACATCAGCTTTCAGAGAACACTTTTCCCTGTCTGCTCCCTCAGCTGCGAAGTCTGGTCCCTGCATGCCCAATCTAAGTGCTTTCAAATTTCTGTGGGTTTGGCAATTTTCTCGCAGTGGCTCTTTCTCTGGCTTCTCTGGCACGCTTTCTTGGCATGAGCTTGCACTATCCAGTTGTTTCAGAGTCATAGATTCCCTCCTGAACCCCTTTAATCCCAAGCAATTTAAAGCAGACATTGTCCTGGAATCGCCCTTGTAGGTCTACAGCATGGTTTGTGCGTGAAGGGTCTGTGTATGACTTACTGAACCCACTTTTCTTTTCCCAAATAGGTTCTACTCTGTACAATGTGCTCCGAGGAGTGCTGGAGGTTGCTGTTGGCATAGCAGCTGGGGGGATGCTGGGAATGTTTGTTCGATATTTCCCAAGCCACGATCAGGTGAAAACCCAGTTTAAAAAGTTTTTATAAAATAATTTTTATAAAATAATTTTATAAATTCTTTGCTAAGGGATGATATTCCGAAGTTATTCATTTCCAAGCTTCGTATGAAGCTGCTTTTGGGAAAAGCTGCGTACAGTGCTAAGAGCTTCCAGGTTGCAAAGCCTGTCAAGTGAAGATATGTTTTATAGGTGATTACTCGTTTACTGCAACAGCAACAGTGTATGATCTCATAGTCCTTCCTGATGCAGAGTTGTGAATCCAGCTTGCCATCCTGCTCTCTTTGAAGGCGGTGGAAGTGTCCACATATAAAGGAGAAAGGGTCTGATACCTATTTCAGGCAGTAAAATAATCATCGATTAGACTGATGTGCAACACATTTACTTCTATAAGATGTTTCCAGTAGGCCTAAGATTAAAAACGAGTAAAGTGGACAGATTGTGGGCTTTAAGTGATTGGGCATATCATCAATGCTGATTAGAATGCGTTACTTTCAATAAAAATTAAACTTACATAAAATGGTGGATGAATTTACTAACAAGCAGCAATTAAGTGAACAGAAAATTGTGGAAGAAAGTCGATATGTTCCAGACTACTTCTATTGCCCTCAGTAGGATGAACTTTTCCTCTTATTAAATAACATAAGAAGTGTGGTACAGGAGCCAAAGAGATAAATAGAAATAGGGAACAATGGCAGAGCTATGACTCTGCTGTGCAACCAAATAAAACTAGACTGTGCCCATCAAACATTTGTTTGACTTGTCCTTAAAAACATCTGCTGGCAAGGATTTCACCTCTCCTTGGACAAACTGTTCCAGTACGTAACTGTACAGGTAGAAAATCCTGTCATCACAGAGTTAAAGCAGGGCTGTTAGAATAGAGCATCGTGTTCCTTGTGATACAAAAAGTCTTTTGACAAGGAGATTTTGGATGGGCAGAAGAAAGAAAATATTATATTTCCAAAATTTTAATTTCTTAGGAACTAATGTCCAAAAAAAACATCAGCTTGACTGAATAGTTTAAGTCTCACTTGAAAGCTTTGATTCTTTCACAATGGTTAATGGTAATTCTTATTTTCAAATTGCAGTTTTCAAAATTAACGGAAGTAACCTTTTTCCTCTATTTCTAAAAGAAATTTACTCTTTTTTTTTTGTCTATTTCCCTGGCTGCAGGCATCTCTGGCATGGAAGAGGTCATATTTTGTACTCGGGCTGTCCATGTTTGCTGTTTTTGGCAGCATCTACTTCGGCTTCCCTGGATCAGGAGGCCTCTGCACATTAGTCTTATCTTTTGTGGCAGGTGTGGGATGGTCTGAGGAAAAGGTGAATGTTTGTGGAAGCAGCATACCATACCGAAACTCCTCTGAATGTACAGCTTGTCACGAGTGGTAATGGTGCATTTATGAAGCTTTAGAGGTTGTAGGGGTTAAAAAAAACATTCCATGTTTATTTTGGAAGTCTTTAACGTTTAGCACAACAGCAAGTTACCTTGTATGTGACCATATATCAATACAGAGCCTGACATACGGACAGAGAAATGCTCACAAGCTTTTCTTAGACATCTTAAGCCATGTAAAGGAGATTTAGTTGTCAAGGCACTTGAATCCAGAGCTTTATGTCCCAGCTCTGTGTGTCTGTAACCTTACACAGCCACTTTATGGTAAGATTTACAAACAGGTGTCCAAATGTAGTTGTGCACATGGCCTGAATACCCTGAGCTTTTGTTCCCTGTGGTTTTGAAGGGTGAAATGGAAAACAGTAATTAACCATCCTCTCTCATCTTTCCCAAATCGCAGCCAGCGTATTCTGGATAAATTAGAGAGCAGAGTGTCCATAATAAGTGGTGATGTAAGGCCATACAAAACCCACCCAAAAGACTGCTTTTTAGTCACTTTCTCTTAGCTACTTAGCCTGCTTCCTCTTACTGTTGCTGCCCCGCTGCATTGCTGTACCTTGGCATGTCTCTTTTGCTTGATATCATCTACCCTCAATGTTTTGAGGGGATCTTCCTCTCCACAGCTGTAGCCTTGAGACATGCAGTAGGAGAAAGGGAGAAGAAGAGAAAGGAAAGGGGATCAGATAGAGCAAAGTCCAACTAGATCCTGACTTCAGTAAGATCTCAAGGTTTGTTAAAACAACAGAAGAGAAACCATGGTTTTTATTTAAAAGTATTACGTTGTCCAGTTTTAAAAGAAGAAACACTCTTATTGGGACTTAACCACTTAAGGACATTACAACTGATAAAGCTCTCTACTGAAAAGCTTTTAAACCATTTCAGAAGGAAGGACCTTAAAAGAGTATATGCAGTCTATAAATGCTTAGTTTAAATTCTCTTGATGACTGAATGAAGCTTCTTGGCCTTAAGGATGTTGCTTTCAGTTTTTATCAGATACAGTCAGAGGTGTCTGCATACTGTATGTTCAATATATTACCAAGGTTTTCATGCTGACCACTGCCTCATGCTGTGCCTGGTGGAAGTCACTTGGCAAATACTGTCGGCAGAGAACAAGGAACAGTGTACCTATTGCTGGAACAGTTAAATGCACGATAAACAGACTGAAATAATGCTAGCATTGGTAAAGAGGATTTGGTTTTTTTTTTTCCAAAAAAAAAAAAGGGCAAGATAACAAGAAGAAATGAGGCAAATAAAGAAAAATGTTTAGAAGTCTGTATATTTCCACCTCATTCTCTCTAAGGTCACACAAGTTTTTGTATTCCGGTCATCTATTCAGTCAATTCCATTGACTGAAGAGCAAGAACAGGGTCAGTCCCAGAGAGAACACCAAGGACAGGACACGTCTAGGCCCTGGATTGATTATTAGGTGACAGAGCACTGCACTGATATTTTCCACACACTTCAGTCTGAAGATTCCTGTGTTATTGTAGAACCCACTTAATTAAAGAAGAAGTGCTGTTAGATACACTATGTGTACCTTTTCGCCTAAGTGGAAGATTCCTGTTTATCCTGGCAGCAGTTGTTTTAGGAAGATTGTTAGGTGTAAAGTTCAAACAAAAGGAGGAAAGATGGCTTTGCCCTTTTGCAGTACATCATACTGGAAAGTTCAGCACTTTTTACTAGTATGGGATTTCAGACTTGCTCAGTCTAACTTTGCTCCTGCTCACGTGGAGACAATGAGCAGTGTCTCCTGAGTGAGCGCAGCGTGAGTGGAGTTAGGTCATGACTGAAACTTTTGAGGGTCTGACTCTGCCCAGACACCAATGGAAGAACACGTTGAAGCAGGTAGCTCCCAAAGGCTCAGAAACTTAATGGCAAAGCTGTTGAAATTCTGTCTTCCTAAATACTGAAAATCAGCTGTGCTTTATTTTCCTCCTTGTCTGCAAACTGCTGTGTTACTGTTCAAACATCCGTGATTTTTATTTCTCTTCTTGAGATAGCAAGTATTTGTTTACTAGCAGAGCTAGACACACTCTGGCCTTCAAAAGATGTGCAACTGATTTTGAATCTTTTAGGTCAAAGAAGGGGGAGCAATTCTGGACAATCTTTATGATACATTTTCACTTTGTCCTTTGATTAATTCAATGTTGTGTCTACTTGGCCATATTTTTGTGAATTTACAATTATTTTTGGTTTTGTTGCAGAAAGAAGTAGAAAAAATTGTTGCAGTTGCATGGAATATCTTTCAACCTTTTCTTTTTGGTTTAATTGGAGCAGAAGTATCTGTTACATCTCTTAGGCCTGAAACTGTTGGTAAGATCATCCGCTAATTATCCAGCTTTCATTACTGGCTTCCAAAGAATGTCTATAAAGCAATCTAAAGCAAAGCAAACTATGGCTGACCCAGAAAAACACCCCCAAAAAACCCAAAACCCAACCTCACTGTAAAGATACAGTTTTAGGAGGCTTATTCCCCTCAGGCACCTTGGCACAAAAGTACTGAGAAGTGTTTGTCTTTGTTGCAGGGCTCTGTGTTGCTACATTAGGCATTGCCCTAGTTGTGCGAATCATAGCCACGTTCCTGATGGTGTGTTTTGCTGGGTTTAATTTCAAGGAGAAAGTATTTGTCTCACTGGCATGGATTCCCAAAGCCACTGTCCAGGTAAACAGTCTAACATCACTTGCATTCCAGGCTACATCTCTGGTCCTTAGCAAAGCTCCTCGTAACTAGCACAGCAATAAACAGAGACAGAATCGGGCTCCATAACGGCCGAGTGTAGTATGTGCACAGTTCAGATGCTAAACTGCCCCAAGTCTGCTTGAAAAGTGCATGGAGAGCCTTCTAAGTGAAGGTGTTTTGCTTGCATCCTGAGTTGTACTCTTAATAATGACAGAGGACAGTACGTGTATCATAGGAAGTTTAACTATTTCTCAGCTATTGCAGGTTATTATGCCTTTACAAACAGATTCAGAGAACTCTCAGAACAAAGGTAAAATCGTTTCCCTCTTACACCATAGGAAGTGTCTGCAGGGACAGTCACACCAGAGGCTCAGAATGGTGTCGTCATTTGTGGTCATTTTGGTAAGAGATAGTCTGACAGCCATATTGCTGGAGAAGGCTCAGGCTGGCTGCATTCATTTCAGTGATCGTAAGGTCATTTAGACTTCGCCTCAATAGCGTGATTACTTGCAAGCAAAACTTAGTACATTGTCCGAACAGGCAAGGGTTATTGCACGATTTGTGAGCCGATTTTTCAGAAGCTGCTACTAATCGACTGCTCTTGGGATGCATTCTCAAGGTGTGGCATTTTAACAGCTGCAATATGCAATATACTGGCCCATTTCATTAATCACACATTCTCCAGAAATGTGGATAAGATGGCAGCTAAGCAATGTTCTTCACAGGAGGGAACCACTCAGATAAAGTCTCTAGCTAAGGAAATTCAAAGTGTAGCCAAGTGAAAATTGTTCTCATAGGTGTAATACAATATTTACTTTTCTATGTACTGCCTAGAAATGAATGCATTGAATGTACTAAAAATGTCAAATCTATGTTAAACGTTGACTGATGATTAGTCCCTTTTTTTCCTCTTTCAGTGTTTAAGGTTACTTGCTCTATCTCAGCAATGTTTCCTTTCCTGCAGGCTGCAATAGGTTCCCTTGCCCTGGATACAGCAAGAAGTCATCAGGATAAGCAACTGGAAAAGTATGGAATGGATGTACTGACAGTAGCTTTCTTGGCTATCTTGATCACAGCTCCGATTGGAGCCCTGGTTATTGGCTTGGCAGGGCCCAGACTTTTGCAGAAGGCTCAGACAAGTAGCAAGGACGATGAGGAAGGTGCTGAGGTTGGAGAAGAGGCAGCGGCCTGTGAGCCTTCGTGAGACAGACATCTACAGGAATATGGTCCTTCAGCCCTTACACTTCTGTTGAGTAAAGACAGCCATGTCTGCAATCTTTCTGGAGGAAATCAAAACAAGTATCAATTATGTCTGCTATTTTAAAAGCAGCCCTGGTGATGGAGTTTTATAAAATATTTTTATGTGTCAATGGTGCTTTAAGAGATGAAATAGCCAAACATACAGTGAATAGGCTGGCCAGGCAGTGAGTCACTGAGGAGTCAGCAGTCAACAGTTACTTGAAATGTGTGGGCGTGAGGCCAGGGAGAGGATCAGAATCGTTCAGGCACGGAGCAGAGTCATGAGGTGGGATATAAACAGAAGAAAACAGAAACTAATGTGAATAACTTCTTGATTCTTGAAACTGGGCTGAAAGATGAGAAGTTTAACAACTCAAAGAATGCATCTTCTGAGTAAGAGACTGCTGACACATAGTGAATAAGTTCTTCCAGGGCTTGGTGATTCCCTGCCCTTCCTCATTCGGGTTCCAAAACTTGCCTTTTCCTATCGCTGTTCTTTCTCACAGCTCATGGATTCCTTTGTCCCTTCAAGGGATTGTCAGCTCCGGTTGTAGCAAGAAACAGCAAGTGGCACTTATGTGCTAAAAGAGACGGTTGGGTCCATCATGAACTGGGGTAATACAGGTGCTGCTGGTGCTGGTAGAAAAAAGCACTGAGCTTGAAAACGGGATGAGGGTTGTGGGGAGGCTGTAAGGACCGGGAGAGGGTTGTATGGGATTGAGATGGCTGCTTCTTCAGCCTTCGCACAACATGATGTCAAGGGAGGGAAAGCCATCTCTTTGGCCACTGAGAGTGGTTCTGGTGCTGGCCACCGTAGGACAGAGGGGAGAGCTCTTCTTAGGTGGGGTTTGCTGACAGGGCAAGTCCAAGGTGGCAATGAGCTGTCCCTTTCTTCCTCAGCTCCTTTTGGGGAACTCAGCAATAGCAGCAGACCTCTTCTCAAATCAAGATTCACGGGTCAGCCGGGATCTCCTGTTGCTTTGTTGTAAGTTAATACTCATCTGGCTGAGAAAATGCCATGATCAGGTCCTTCTCACATCGGCGTTTGGAGAACTTCAGGAAAGAAAACTAGGTATTTGCTAAAAATATAGCCAGTTAGTGCTCATTTTTCCAAGAAGTAGCTGGCTGGATTGGCTGTGGAGAGTGGAGGCCTCTCAGATCTGTCAGGGCATTTTTTACCTCTGACTGATGCAGAAAACTCATATACTTAAAATGTAAACAGCCTTGAAAACGCAGTGCTGAGAGGGATGGTACAAAGCGAAAGGAGCCTCATCTCACCCACCTTCCGAAAGGCTGCTATGTGAAGACAGGTGTCATGAGGAAGTGGTGTCCAGGACACAGCAGTAGCACCCTCAGCACATACCCACAGGTCCTGGAGGTCTTTCCAGAAACAAGTCGTGTGCGGCTGTGGATCATGGTAGTGACTGGCTAGTAGCACCCTCAGCACATACCCAGGTCCTGGAGGTCTTTCCAGAAACACAAGTTGTGTGCGGCTGTGGATCATGGTAGTGACTGGCAACGCTTGTGTTGAATATGTTGCCAAAACATTTCACCAGAGGGAGCAAAAAGCTCAAATGCAGTTTTCTTCATTTCATTTAACATAGATGCCTCCTGCACAGTCAGTTGAATATAGTTCACGTTGTTTTTCCCATTCCCAGAAGAGTTTCCTTTCTCTTCTCTTTGACTACTTTCCTAAAGCCAGGACTAAACCTCCTCTGTTGATCGAAATCCTGCTCTTGCCTTTAGCTTCAGCATCAGTTAGGCTTTAGTATTGACAGATCCCAGCAAATCTTTCTTATTCTGCTGTTTTGTACAAGTAACTACCTCCAAGTAGGTCATTCCCGGCTCCGTTCTGAGGCATGGACAGCATCCCTCAGAAACTGAAGTTTTATTTTATTTTTTTGTATTGATGTTGGATTGTGCCTGTAATCGAGGTGGATAACACCTCCCTGCAGATTTCTGCACTGCAGTTCACTGGACTCATTTTACAGCACACCGTACAGAACATATTTGATGTGGCTAGATATTTTTGGCATTGGTAAGTAAGAATTAATTCTATTTTAGCTTTTCCACTTTTAATATGCAACGCAAAAACGTACAAAAATACTTTTAAAAGAAAACTATCTGAAACTGTATTATTTGCAGTGTCCACATATGCCTCTGTATACAGATTAATTACAGCTCAGTATGTGGCCGTTGTATATCATAGAATCACGGAATGGTTCGGGTTGGAAGGGACCTCAAAGATCATCTAGTTCCAACCCCCCTGCCATGGGCAGGGACACCCTCCACTACACCAGGTTGCCAAAAGCCGCATCCAACCTGGCCTTGAACACTTCCAGGGATGGGGCATCCACAACTTCTCTGGGCAACCTGTTCCAGTGCCTCACCACCCTCACAGTGAAAAATTTCTTCGTTAGGTCTAATCTAAATCTGCCCTCTTTCAGTTTAAAGCCATTACCTTCCATATGCCTTCCTCTGCAAGCCGAAAAGAAAGCTTCCTGAGAAATATTTAAGGATCATAGCCTGCAATGCCAGCACAGTGATAAAATTACCAGGAAATTCTTTGCTAAGTTTTCCCCTAACAGTTGGCAAGTACATTGCTGGTTTTGTTACTACACACACTGCTGTTCTCTCCGCTTCCTTGGGAAATGTACAGTCTTTAGCCCAGTTGGTGTTTGTCCCCTGACCAGAAGGGAAGATGCTTTCCAACTGTGCACCGGTGAATGGTTACGGTGCTGAGTTTTGGTGGTCGTTGTAGCAGCCATTGACTTCTGTGCCTGTTCTGCCTACTTGGCGTGGTTAACAAAGGCACTCCGCTTCCTGAATAGGGGCAGTTTTAATAGGAGGCTGTTGAATTTGGGAATTGTAATGTCTAAACCTAATTGATAAGACGAGGCAATACAGTGTTCAGTTAATCAGTGACTGTCTATAAAACAATTCAACTTGAGTAAAACTTACAGGAGTAGAAGCTTTATATAGTTCACTTTTTCCATAAGGTTTTATAAAAAGTAGAATCCTCCTGCAGGGAAGGATCCCTGTGCCACATTTGGAGTCTGTTCAGTAACGGAAGTGAGACGCGCAAGGATTACAGCCCTTTAAATGTGAACACAACCTTAAGCACGCAAGCAAACTGCTGACAAACAGCCCGTGTTCATGACAGCCTCTAATACTTGCCCACCATCACAACAGCATCTCATAAATTGGATTTATCGTGTTCCCTTAACCTTAATTCATTCATTAGATCACGCCCACCACTCTGAGTGCCTGGATAGCTGGACCAGGGAAGAGTGTCATCGTGTTCTCTAACCTGAATGAAATTGAATCAATTTTCCTTTCCTCGCCACCGTATGTGGATGTTTCTCACAAGACCCCTTTCCCCCAGCTTTTATTAAATCATCAAAAAGAATCAGGTTGAAGCTGTTACACAGACATGCAGATCTAAAATGAAAAGCATTAATGCTTTATAATGGTCCTCTCCTTGCTTTCCGGAAAGGAATGGAACACTGGCATCTTGTCACGAAAAGAAATGTTTTATCGGGGCTAAGAACCTATGAGACTGGGTTTTTGTAATAAGCATCGTGACAATTTCAGCTGATTTAAATAGCAGTTAACTGTGAGAGATGCAGTTTCACTTTTTATCAGAGCTTGAGCAGGTGAAGTCATGACACTTAGGACTGCCTCCTTTTTAAGAAATGCCATTAAATCATTCGTGAATAATGCATAAAATCAAGCCAATAAACTCTTTATGCCATGCCAGTCTCTTATTTACAGGAAATAAAATTGGAGCATGATGTGCAGTGAACTCTAACCAGAGGAGTCCCGCTGTCGTGCAGACACAGCCATGTGAGTGCTCAGCACAGTGTGCGTGTGCGGTTCCAGAAGGTTCTCAAGAACATCTGCAGCAGCAGGGGCTGACGGCTCAGCATGTTCCTGGCAGCGAGCAGCAGGCAGAGTTACAGCGGGCAGCAGATGGGAGAAGACAGAAATGGCCGTCTGGAAGCAGGGAGTCACGCAGGCCAGGGGACACAGTGATAATGTAGTTGCAATCACTGCTTTCTCTCTCTTTTTCGGCCAAACTGAGTGCTTTAGGGAATTCAGACTGAAGTCTAAAATTGACTGTGAAACGCTCATGGTGTAACACAGCCACAAAACAGTGAATAGTACAGGCTTTACGTTTCGCTTTTTAAATAAACGAAGTGCAAGAGATCAAATTTTGTGCCAGCTGCACTTCAATTACATTTACTGTCTAGTTGCCCCAAGTCAGACTCCTTTCTCTAAACGCATTTGTTTTACAAGTTCATTTGCAGTCTAACTATAGTTCAAATTCATAATCAAAAGAAAGGTAAACATTACTGTTCTTGTAGAGTAAAAGGACATGTCATGACATGCCAAGTTCAGCTTCCCCTGATTTTGCATCAAGACTACAAAGACCTGATCTACTGCCTCAGTCCTGGTCTTTATTAGCACCGGGGCAAATTTATCCCGTTGTATGGAGCTTCCAAATTAGGTTAGAAGAGTCACCCAGTGGCAAGACATGACCAAACATATCCTAACAGGTAACTGGTTCAGCCCTCTCAACTGCTGGTGAGACAGAGGTCTGCAGACACGTCAGTTCATGGCTATCTATCCCTGTAGACTTTAGGTAGATAAATTGAACCAATTAGAAAATTCTTTGAGATTTTCTGTAGAAAATTCCGGGGCCATGAGAGACCGTATTACCTTGACAGATATTGAAATGCAAGGAAACAGTCGTTTATCTTGCTTGTGATCGTCATTCTATTACTATCTTGTGGAAGTTACTACAATGCCCTTTCCACAAGGGAACTGTGACTGAGTGCTGATATTGCAGGCCCATACTACAAGTGTGTTCCATCCTCCTATAGGCATAAGCCAAACAAAAAATCACTCTGTTCTATAGCCACATCTGTAGATTGCTGCTGAACTATCTCATCTAACAGCAAGCAGGGAGAAAAAATTAATTACATAACCAAGCCGTGCTAGAGATGGAGTCAAGAGGTTAAACCTTAAACTGCCATTCTCCTTTTAGAGGAACTTTGTGGGAGAAATAAAACTAATTACGCTGTATTACTTACCCTAACAGGGTTTGTCTGAGTAGAGCAATGGGAGTGAGAACAGGATCCATGTACGTAGTTTACTTCTCAAGACTTCAAAGGAAATCAAACTGTTTGAATGCAAAAGTATCCTAATAAAAGCTGGAAGCGCATACAGACTTGGATATACTAAGAGCCTGCTACAATAGGCTATGGATTTTAAAGCCTGAAAAAAAAAATAATCTGGCTTTGGCACTTCACATCGTAATTTCTTCACCAAACCCAAGAACTGGGGCTTGGTGTG